ATCCCATTCCCTCGGATAAGGACATGGAATACCCGTCTTCTTAACTTCTTGAGCCGTCATCAAAGCATTGATTTTGTCTTCAAGTTTTTGCATTTTCCCGTCATCGTCTTCATTTCTTTCTGAATGATGTCGAGTAAAGATAATTGGACCACCCCCAGTGAGAGGTGCTATTGAACCACCCCCAATATCGTTATTGGGAGGATCCGTTAAACCACCCCCAGCGTTATTGCCATTGGGAGGTGTATCAGCCATAATGACTTCATCCACCTCTGGATCACTGTCATCTACAATATTCCGAGTGTGGTGGCTGGATTCAAATCGCTGATTGGACTCAGGAGGTTGAGGCTGTTGAGTTAACAGTTCTCTCATTTGTTGGATAGCCAACTTCATTTCTGTCTTCACTTCAGCTCTAATTTCTTCACGTTGTTTGGCTAGAGCTTCCTGAAGTATTTGAGTGAACTGATCAGCAGTGATTGTGAATACTTCTCTGATTTGTCCTGTGCTAGACATTGTATCATCAGAAGCGATTGCAGAATAAGTGTCCGAGAATTCATCCTCCGAGGACATTCCTTCTTGCATTCTCTTGTAGTCTCTGCGTCTGATAGCTCCTAATTGGAGTCGAGACATCCTTTGAGCAATTCTTGGATTGACTTTTCCTTTCGGGGAAAAGTCGGGATTTGAGTCACTTGAATGCTGTTTAGACTTTCTTCTAGAATGCTGTTTAGACTTTCTTCTATCAGCCACGTTGATGGTGACTTCAGGGAATTCATCATTTTGTCTTCTTTTGCGGAAATGTCTCGGCTTAGGTTTCGATAATACAGAGACTTTTCGTGGGATGACTTCTCGTTTGAAACAGTCACATTCTGATAATGCTGTTTTAACGAGTCGCGCACAGGAACAACGGGAGTTTATCTCTCGAATAACTCCCTTTCGAAAATTATTCACAACTTCAACTTGATAATACGATTCATCGGTATGATTGCCAAAAAATCGTATCGTCTGTTGGTATGATCTCCCAGGTATGACGATATCATTTGGTGAATGCGTCTTCTTCTGGGGGTATAAAACCTTGTTGGCATTCTCAGGACAATTTATTTTTGTTTTTGAGCGATCCAAGGTTATGTTGGGAGTCGCACGTCTGAAACCACCCATTTGCGGGTATGGGGTCTTAACGGGCTCCGAATGCTGATTTTGCATAAGTCCAGACTTTGGAATCCAAACTTGACGAAGTTTTGGTGATTCTTTGGTCACCATTTCCTTTCTCTTTTCTCGTCTTTGTTGTGAGAGAGCATGGGCATTAGCAGCTTTTGCACGACGTTTTTGTATACGTTCTTTGAGGGTCGAACGAGTCTTTTTGACAATAGTCCATTCATCCGTCGTTGTTTTAGCAGAGATACGAGTGATTGGTTGTTGAGACAACTGAACCACTCGATGTCTCCTCGACTCTAGGTCCGCGTGGTAACGAACCCCGTCGGTTTGTTCCAAGGCTTTAGCCATTTGGCGAGCACGGCGTTGACGTTGTCTCTGACGAGCTCTTTTCGTCAATGCCGGCGGGCTTTGATTCGATGACTCTTTAACTAGATAAGAGCCATTGTGAGCAGAGGTATTGCGAGTGAAATTCTCAGCAACAATCAAGCGAGAATCTTCATTTTGTGCCTTCTTTGGCATGTAAGTCTTCCTCAATTGTGAGATCCTCTTGTACTTGCGAGATACTGAAGATCTTGAAGAGGATGATGAGAAATATTCCTCAAACTTGGTTTGGTCGAATTCGTATTCGACCATGGATTCAACTGGAATCTTGATCGGCTGCGACACGACGGTCTCGGCAGCGAGACCGTTGGCTCCCACTGTGGTCGCCAGTTTGTTTTCGCCAAAAGTCGAATTTGTTGTCGAATTCATTATATCTTCGGTCGATTACAATAAATTCAAAGAAAACAGCCTTTTTATAAGACTCTTTTACACAACAAAAAGAAAATTACAACTCTTGAGAAAATAAACGCAGGATCGTTGTTTGGATCACTGCTTTCGTGGGATCTTTGCCTGTGCCGGGAGCGCTTTGACTCGTGGACCACCAAATCACAGATTCTGATTGAACCGTGAGGGGTTTATGATTCTGACTTCGTTTATCGAAGTGAGAAATTGAAACGATATCTTATCGATGTAAGATAGTCGTTCTTCTTGAAATCAAGTCAAAGCCTGATTATCAAGGATTGGCCGTAAGATCAGCACCTCTGCTCTCTCTCTGCTCTGGATTGCTCTGGATTGCTCTGAAGTACTAAAAAATGATCAGCCCCCTTTTGTCACCGCTGTCCAAATCCTTAAATACCATCTTTTTATGAGGTTAGTGGGCCTTTTCTTCAGTTTGTAACTGTCTCCCACGATCTTTAACAGTTAATGGCCACTTGTTTAGGCGGTTTCTGAACTCCTGTCTCGCGAAACAGTAAAACACTGTCTCGCCAAACAGTAAAAGACTGTCTCGCGAAACAGTAAAAGACTGTCTCTCCAAACAGTAAAAGACTGTCTCTCCAAACAGTAAAAGACTGTCTCTCCAAACAGTAAAAGACTGTCTCTCCAAACAGTAAAAGACTGTCTCTCCAAACAGTAAAAGACTGTCTCTCCAAACAGTAAAAGACTGTCTCTCCAAACAGTAAAAGACTGTCTCTCCAAACAGTAAAAGACTGTCTCTCCAAACAGTAAAAGACTGTCTCTCCAAACAGTAAAAGACTGTCTCTCCAAACAGTAAAAGACTGTCTCTCCAAACAGTAAAAGACTGTCTCTCCAAACAGTAAAAGACTGTCTCTCCAAACAGTAAAAGACTGTCTCTCCAAACAGTAAAAGACTGTCTCTCCAAACAGTAAAAGACTGTCTCTCCAAACAGTAAAAGACTGTCTCTCCAAACAGTAAAAGACTGTCTCTCCAAACAGTAAAAGACTGTCTCTCCAAACAGTAAAAGACTGTCTCTCCAAACAGTAAAAGACTGTCTCTCCAAACAGTAAAAGACTGTCTCTCCAAACAGTAAAAGACTGTCTCTCCAAACAGTAAAAGACTGTTCTTCTAACCACTCAGAGATTATCGCTTTATATGAGACCTCACGAGAATGTGTATGATTAAAATCGTTGATATGACATATTTGTGGTTCGTGTGGTCTAGCGAAAGATGATATTCCCCCCACTGTCCTTTATGAGGACAATGCAGCTTGTGTTGCACAAATGAGCAGTGGATATGTAAAAGGAACCATGATAAAATGACAAAACATATTGCGTCAAAATTCTTTTATCCACATGAGCTCCAAAAGAATGGCGAAATCACCATCGAAAAAGTTCGCTCAAGTGACAATCTTGCAGATTTGTTCACTAAATCTATACCTACGTCAACTTATGAGAAATATGTTCACAATATGCATAGGCTTAAAAGACTATCTTCTTCAGGGGGAGCAAATTCTTAAAGAACAATCCTGAAGATTGGGCCTTGAAGGTCTATTATCATAATTTGCCCCTTTTCGCTAAGTTTTGTCCCACTGGGTTTTTCTTAGCATAGACTCAGAAGATTGTCATCATCAGGGGGAGCGAATTTTCAACGCAATCCCGAAGATTGTGCCTTGAAGGACTATAGTTGTACTTTTTTTTCCTTTTGCTAAGTTTTGTCCCACAGGGTTTTCTTAGCTAAAGGTTTTTAATGAGGCAACTAATGCAACACAAGTTTGGATCCCGAAGATCTATAGTTGTACTCTTTTTCCCTTTACTAAGTTTTGTCCCACAGGGTTTTCTTAGTTAAAGGTTTTTAATGAGGTAACTAATGCAACAAGAATCTACTAATGTCGTGTACTCTTTTCCTCGATTAGTTTTTTTCCCACTGGGTTTTTCTAGCGAGGTTTTTAACGAGGCATTGACATTTCGAAGTAATGTCCAAGGGGGAGTAAGAATCCCCAGGAGATGCAAAATCCGAAGCAGTCTCGTTTCAGTCGTCCGATTGGAAAGGATAAACCGAAGAGTTCGAAAACTCCACGTGCCTTTGACATCATGGTTCAGCTAGCCAATATTCCAGCGCGGATAACGCTATATGAATTGTTGCGGCTGTCTAAAGAAACTAGAGAAATAAATTGTACGATGTATGGAAATGAAATATGATGAATAAGAGATTACAATTTCTCTTCTTTTCTTGTCTCTTGTCTCTTGTTTCATTTCTTTAGTATATTACAACATAATAATTTTTTCTAGTTTTTATTTTTTAAAATTATGTATTTATGATTTTTTTTTCAATTAACACTTGAGTCTTATTTATCTTGTCCAAACTCCAAATTTTAAATCACCAAAATATGACCAACGTGTTGGGCTGTGTCTCGTATCTATTTTAGTATCCATTGAGCTTTTGATCTTGATATGCCTTTGGCCCAAGCTAGTGCTAGGCTTTATTGTTAGCATGATATAAGTCTCTTGAGTGAGATGGCTTGAGATGCGAGATTTGAGGAGATTTGAAAAGAATATGAGTGGTTATGTATGAATGTGAGGTTAAGAGAAATTGAGATGAGTGATCTCTCTTGTACCGCTTCCCTCATAGTGTATTATCATATTATTGCCCCGTGACTGTAAATCGAACATGGTCAATCGAACCACATAAATCTCGGTGTTTGTTCTTCTTATTTATATTGTTGTCTATTTATGAACTTATGGTTTCATCTATGGTTTGCGGATGTTGGTGTCATGGATCGGCCAACAAAATGTCCAGTTGCAACAGACAAGAAATCAGAGTCATGTAGCTTAATTTGTCCCTAGGAGGGTAATCAGTTTTTCATCATTATGATTCAGACTATAGGTAGAGTATAAACCCTTCGTTCCCATCCGTTCATCCTCTCAACGCATGCACTTGCAAGTTGCAAGATAACGCAAGCCCCACAGCGGATGACATCGAAAACCTCAAACCTTTTCAATATCCAACACCAACCAACCTCTATATAAACCTCAACGCGACCTCAACACAAAACCATCACCCAAAACATAATCTTCAACCGCTCCTAAAAACAACCATGAGGACCAAAGCCACCCTCCTCCTCCTCCTCATTTCCTCTCTCCTCTTGATCGAAGATTCAAATGCTGCTGCAAACTGCGGAGTTGTTGCATCAAAGGCCGTAGCATGTGTGGCCTTTGCTACAGGCAAAGTGCCGAAGCCGCCCAGCGCATGCTGCATTGGACTGCAGCAGTTGGCAAAGGGTGCAGCCACTGTTGCTGACCGAAGGGGGGTCTGCCAGTGCCTCAAGATTGGGGTTAAGGCGTTCCCCGGGGTGCAGGATAAGTTCCTTAGCCAAATTCCTCGCTTATGTGGGATTAAAGTTGGATTCCCAGTTTCTTTGAACACCAACTGTAACAAGATCAACTGAAGCTTAGGACTTCATGAGGATAGAGGAGTTTCTGAACTATAGTAGATGAATAATGAAGGGATTAGTGTAAATCCTTAGTTTTAAGGATGACGGTATTTCATGACCATGATGTAATCCCTGATCGTCTTCAATGGAAGAATATCTGATCTTTGTTTCCTCCGATTTGTCCTTCTCTCTTTTTACTTTTTTTTTTCTTTTTTATTAGCGCGTGGATGTTTAATGCACAATAGCCGATTCGATTTACATCTGTACGTGAACTGCATTAATAATTGCTCGCATGGATCATAGGAATCAACATACTCCAAACTGTTCCTTGTAATTGTTTCAGTCTAGCTAAACAGGAACGGCAATAACAGCAACAAAAGTGTTGTTACTCCACAAATTTATAATCGGCTACATGAATCTTTTTCTTCCCTCCAGTTCTATTAAGGGTTGTCTTCTCAATGAAACTAACTATTATCGTATCATTCTCAACTGCTTTCAACCAATTTATTTCAAGCTGGGTCTCGTTAACTATAATCTTAACGCTTCTATTCTTGGTGAACGCAAGAGTTTCACCATAGTTCATATACTGACATAATGTCATCTTGGCCTTATATCAGCTGCCTGCAGATGCTCCACTATCCAAAAACAAAATCCAGGTCCAAACAGAGTGAAATTTTCGTGTGAAGGTTACGGTTTCATATTCCCTTCGTACTTCTATGAAACATAGCAGGGTGCATATAACTAACCGTACTGGCTCCCTTTTCTGTGCTACCTCCACTAGCCACAGGTCCTTAATTATGAAGATAGTTGTGATTCTGTGAGACCTATAACTTTAATAGTTCAAAACTTTTCCCAGATTCTCTTGAGTCTGAATGCTTCTTCCTTCTTTGGGAGATAATGTTCTCTGTGATACTTCCTCGGGTATCTCCTCAAAGTTTATGATTAGTATGTTACTAATGGATTTGATCATCCTCCCAGTGATACTTCCTCGGATATCTCTTCAAATTTTATGATTAGTATGCTATTAATGGATTTGATCAATGAAATTTCGATCAATGACTTTTTACTCAAAAAAACCGGAGCCTTAACTACAACACCTTGCATCGTATGTCATTGATAAAAACCTAGCCCTTAATCTTCAGAGCAACATCCTGATCTGAAACCTAAATTAAACATATTTTTCCTGTTTAAACAGCTCAGTATTACTAGTAGCATAGGCACATTTCAGATTGTTAATGATAAAGCTTGAACAAGGATTATCCAATTTATTAAATCAAGAACCAGACGAAAAAAATTGGGAGTCTAATATGTTGCATGTAGCTAAAATATCCCTACAATAATAACACAAATCACTTCGATACAGACAAAGGTAGAATGCAAACCCCCCTCTCGCATCCATTCATCCTTCTCAATGCAGCTGCAAAAAAGCAAACTCTAGAGATAACCCAAGCCCCACAATGTATCACATTGGAAAGCTCAAACCTTTTTAAAATCCAACACCGACAAAACCCTATATAATCTCAATACCGCCTCAACACAAAACCATCACCCGAAAACATAATCTTCAACTACCCCTGGCAACGACCATGAAGATCGCAGGAGCCGCCCTCTTCCTCCTCCCTCGTCTCCTCCCTTCTCTTCATCCAGGAGGCAAATGCTGCTGTGAGCTGTGGAGTTGTTGAATCAAAGGCGGTAGCATGTGTGACCTTCGCCACAGGCAAAGTGCCGAAGCCTCCACAAGCATGCTGCATTGGGCTGCAGCAGTTGGCAAAGACCGCGACTACGGTTGCTGACCGAAGGGGGATCTGCCAGTGCCTCAAGATGGGGGTGAAGGCGTTCCCGGGGGTGCAGGATAAGTTCCTTGTCCAAATTCCGAGGATTTGTGGGATCAAAGTTGGATTCCCGGTTTCTCTTAACACCAATTGTAATATGATCAACTGAAGCTCAGAAGTAATCGGAAAATGAATAAGAAAGGGATAAGTAGAACCTCTTAATAAAGGATCTGTACGTCTTTTTAAGGTGATGTAGTCCTAGCGATTTTCAGACAGAAGAGTATTTGGTCCTGATACTTCTCCTTGTTTGAAGCCAAAGTGCAGGACTCTCCACTTAGTATTCCTAATATTCTACTCCAGTGTTATCGGCATCAATAAATTAATATAACTAAATCAAATTGATAAACCTAAGCAGGCAAGTACCACAGAAGGATATACGCAAGTATAATAAAATTTTCATCGGGTCAGCTACAGAAACAAAGATTACACAACAAAGGATAACCTTGACGATCAATGGCCTTCAACAAATCAGCATTTGAGATATTCATCTTTCCTAGTAAGTATTGTGATCTTGTCATGCCAAGACTGAAGTGTCTGTTTTCTGTGCTTCGAGGATTTTGTGGTTCTTTAAAAAGCTTATTAATGAAAATTGGTAGTTGACTGGCTTACATTTTCTTTATCACATATACTTGCTGTTTGGGAGAATGTTGGCTCCTTCGATTACAGCAAACAGGTATACCTGGTACCTGCATACTAGGATGTCAAACGGGATTAGGAATGTTTCTTGTTGATATCACTTCAAGGCTGCTCAGCTAAGAGCTCTAACTCAAATAACCATATACACATGCAGACGCATGCATAAAAACATTATAATTTACATGCACACACAAACAGAAAGATCACCAGAAAAGCCTTGGAGACGACACTATGAAAAAAAGAGGTCAGAACAACCCATAGCAACGCACCAACAACAATAAATTATAGCAACCAAGAGATACTTTGATCATCTGAGAACATTAACATTAAGAAAACGAAAGGGGAGAGCCCACAGGTTCAAGATACCTATGGGTGCAAAACAGAGGAATCTATTCCCTTAAAATGGGATGGTGAGGGTATTTTCCCCACCATTGTCATCATCATCATCATAACTATAATAACAAGCAGCAGATCAAAAAAATATATTCTATTAGTCCTCATGGACGCTGTGCGAGTCATGAACTTATGGGAGAATGATGTGGAAGTAGCTAATTGACAAATCATTCAGAAATTGATTAAAATCTCTGGAAGAGAAATAGCATTACAAAAGCCAACACACACGTGACACACCCCTCCCCATCATTGAAGCACAGGATGGGCTCATTTGTAACGATTCGTTCAGCCATTGGGTATTTTCCTAAGCAAAGTACATGCAAACAATAAACGGATATATGGTCAGCATAAATACTAAAAGACAAATTTTGTTTCATATATCCTCAATTACGTTATTATGTAGTTACAAGTTTGTGCTTTTGTCCTGTTTCCATGTTGAGGGTAAACCCCAAAGAAACATTAACGCAAAGGTGCCCGTTGTTAGGGATTCGAAACAATCAAATCGAACCATTGTTCTTCCGGACCTTGTGTTTGAGAGTAGGAAATTAGGAAAAATCACAGCAAATAAAAGATAAAAAAACTTGCAGGAAAGTAAACAAGAAAGAACACACTAGGTTTAACGAGGTTCGACAATCTTGCCTACGTCCTCGGGAGCCACACCACACAATTCTTTGATTAATATTGAAGAAGATTACAATGTCCACAAATAAGATCTAATCTCTCTGAGATCTCTCTGAAAAATTCTCTCAAAACCCTCTTTTTCTGATGTCTAATCTCTTCTAAGGCATTCCATATATATAGAAAACCTAAAATCAAAACAGACTAGGAATTCTAAAACCAAAAAACAAAACAGATTAGGAATCCTAATAACCTGTTACCAAAATAGATTAAAAATCTTATTAACAAAACAGATTAGAAAACCTGCTATCCAACAATTTGTTTGATTCCAGCTTTGAGTCTACATCCCTTAGACTAACAATCTCCCACTTGAAAACCAAAGCACAATCAACGAGCTCACCCGAACTCTCCCTTCTTTACAAGCATCCTCCTACAAGGAAAAAATTCATTCTTCAATCATCATCAACCCGGCGATCCCGGTGATCCTTCTAGTGTGGCTCCGCCTTCATCTCCTATACGTGAAGGCTAACTGAAGTTGCGCACAACTCCAGTTTGTCAATAGTCACGAGGGAAAATATCTCTGTATAGTCCACTCCTTCCCGCTGTTGGAACCCCTTCACGACTAATCTGGCCTTGTATCTCTTGCTTCCATTATTCTCCTGCTTGACCTAATAAACCCATTTGTTATGCAAGACTTTCTTTTGTATAGGTAGCTGGACTAACTCCCGTGTCTCATTAGTGTGTAGAGAATCCATCTCCTCTTGCATCGCATACTCCCACTGCTGAGATTCACTCACTTGCATAGCCTCCTCATAGCACTCCGGTTCTCCACTATCTGTCAAAAATAAATAATCAAGTGATGAGAGATATCTGGGATTCGGTTTGGGTACCCTGGATGACCTCCTAAGCTCCACGTCCTGGGTAGTCTTCTCTGCACCTGAAGCCTCCTCCGTTCTTCAGTCAGAATTGATTTTGTCGCCCCCATCTGAAAGTTCCTCCAAATGTATGTACTCGGATCCACCTATATCCGTAGTGCGGCTCCCACTGCTTTGGCTATCATTGGCACTGTCTATGTTCTTGTACATCACCTCCTCATTGAATACCACATCCCTGCTTCTGATGACATTCATGTTCTTCTCATCCCAAAGACTATACACGAACTCATCAATGTCGTATCCAATAAATGTGCACTTCTGTGACTTAGCCTCTAGCTTGTCCCTGACTTGGTCACTGATATGAACATATGCCACACAACCGAATACTCGTAAATGTAAAAGATTGATCTTCTTGCTACTCCAAACCTCCTCTAGAATCCCGTAATCCAATGGAACTGATGGCCCATGATTAATCAAGTAAGCTTCCGTATGCACCACATCCGTCCAAAATATCTTAGGCATACCTGCATGTAATCACATGTTCCTAGCACGCTTTGTCAATGTCATGTTCATCCACTCTGCAACGCCGTTTTGCTGCGGTGTCCCTGGAAGTCCTCTCCAAACGAATCTCATTTAGAGCACAGAACCTCTTGAACTCCTCCAACTCGTATTCTCCACCGTTGTCTGATCTCAGACACTTCACCTTCAGATCTGTCTCGTTCTCCACTATGACCTTCCACTTCTTGAAGATCCCAAACACCTCTGACTTGTGTTTCATGAAGTATACTCACACCTTCCTCGAGTGATTGTCGATGAAAGTGACATAGTACGTCGAACCGTCAAGAGAAGACACGCTAGTTGAACCCCATACGTCAATATGAACTAACTCTAGCTTTTGAGCTTTAGGTGACATTCCACCCTTCTCGAAACTAACTCTCTTCTGCTTCCCAAAGATGTTGTCCTCGTAAACACCGACTTTCGCGGAATCAATACCGATTAGCTTCCCCTATGAATGTAGAATCAACCCATTCTTGCTCATATGTCCCAATCTATTGTGCCACAGATCTGTACTCTCTTTGTCAGCTACAATTGCGAGGATGTCACTTGCATGTGAGGTGAGGTAGAGAGTTCCTGTTTTGTTGCCTCGGACAACAACCATAGTACCGTTTGAGATCCTCCACGAATCCCCGGTGAATGTCGAAATATAGCCTTCTACTCCAAACTAGCCAACCGAAATAAGATTTCTCTTCAGCTTCGATACGTGCCTCACGTTCTTCAGACTCCACTTGGAGCCCTTTAACTGTATTTACACATCTTTTCCGACACTACATAGTTCATTATTCCCTAAGTATACTTTTCCAAAGTCACATGCTACATAGTTATGAAAAAGCTTCCTATTAGCAGTGACGTGGAACGAGACTCCTGAGTCGATGACACAGGAATCAGAATCGCTGTCCATAGCTAGGATCAAGGCATCCTGCACGATACTGCTCATTCACATCCTTCTTTTGTGCTTTACAAGCTGAAGACATATGACCCTCCTGGCCGCAGTTCCAATACTTTCCTTTGATAGGCCTAACTTTTGAGTTTGACCTCTTCTTGTTTGACTTCGACCGATTCCTGTTCTGATTCCCATTCTTCTGGCTTCTGCCTCTGTGCTCGAAATTTAGGACTGAACCTGAACCTTCTGATTCGAACGATTTCCTTCTAACATCTTCGGATAGAATCATGCTAACAATCTCGCTCAGCTTCAATTTGTCCTTCCCCGCCGAATTGTTGATTACCGTCACACAACCTGCCCAACTATTCGACAACTGCGATAGAATCAATATGACATGCATTTCGCATCGAACGTGATGTCTATGGAGATGAGTTGATCAACAATCGTGTTGAACTCGCTGAGGTGCATTGTGAATGAGCGTTTTTCTACCATCTTGAGATTGAAGAGTATCTTGACGAGATGCACATTGTTTGCGGCAGACGGTTGCTCGTACATCTTCACGAGCGCTTCCATAAACCCCACCATCGTCTTCTCCTTCAATATGTTATGTGCAACTGTCTTGACGAGCGACAACCGGATTTGCCCTAGAGTCTTCCTATCCAGTATCTCCTAATCCTCGTCTGACTCTTCTTTCTTCTTTCACTTAGTCTTGCCCATCAACGGGTGATACAAATCTTTCTGGTACAGATAGTCTTTCCCTTAGTCTTGCCCATCAACGGGTGATACAAGTCTTTCTGGTACAGATAGTCCTCCATCTGTGATTTTTAATAGGTAAAGTCTGAACCGTCAAACTTCTCGGTCTTAGATTTGCTTTCCTCTGTCATGGCTCTCTCACAATCCTTCTGAACGAGCTCTGATACTAGTTGTTGGGGATTCAAAACAATCAAATTGAACCCTTGCCCTTCTGGACCTTGTGTTTTAGAGTAGGAAAGTAGGAAAAATCACAGCAAATAAAAGATAAAAACTTGCAGAAAAGTAAACAAGAAAGAACACACCAGATTTAACGAGGTTCGGCAATCGTGCTTCGTCCTTGGGAGCCACACCACACAATTCTTTTATTAATATTGAAGAAAATTACAATGCCCACAAATAGGATCTAATCTCCCTGAGATCTCTCTGAACAATTCTCTTAAAACCCTCTTTTTCTGATGTCTAATCTCTTCTAAGACGTTCCATATATATAGAAAACCTAAAACCAAAATAGACTACAAATTCTAAAACCAAAAAACAAAACAGATTAGGAATCCTAATAACCTGTTACCAAAACAGATTAAGAATTCTGTTACTAAAACAGATTAAGAAACCTGCTATCCAACAATTTGTTTGATTCCAGCTTTGAGTCTACATCCCTTAGACTAACACCCGTCGCTGATCCAACAAAAGAAAATAATGGATAGCTTCCTGTCGGACTTTTAGGAATTTTAGGATAACCTTGGAAATGCTAGAATAAATTCATGGCAAGGCATAAATGTAAACTTGGAAATGCTAAGTGCGCAGACATGCTAACCACAAAGTAAAATAGGAAAAGAACGCAATAAAAAAGGAAAAATAATAGGCTTATTTCTGAAACATTACTAAATAAAAAGAATACAATGAAAGAAATGTTTCATTGTACACGTCCAAGAAAACAGGTGAAGTGAAGCAATGTGTGCTTCAGGTCAATTACCAATCTGATTTTAAAGCTGCAGCATGGCTGAAGTATTGATCTGAGTAGAACATTATTTTACCATGGAATCTGTTGACCATCCCAGGCAAAGAACTTCCCACTATCACTGGCTTTAGCATTGTTTATGATGCCTAGGAGCTTTTGCACTGAGAACTCCGCTGTGAAAAGCTTGCCCTGAGGAACATTCCTCTGGAAAGGCTTCGAAAGATCTGTGTCCACAGTTCCTGGATGTAATAGGATGCAAATGATTGGATCCTTTCTCCGAGCAAACTCCACAGATATATTCTTTGTCACTGCATATTTTAATCGAAGATTGTTAAGTCGAAAATGCAGCAAGCCTCCATAAATCAACCGCTTAAAGTTCTTAAACATAAAAATCGACAGTGTATTAAAAATTCTAAGAGCCTAGATTTGCACACTGTTGAGTGTCATGCTGACTCATTTATGCACATTATTCTAAAAAAATTAAACTCAGTTTAGAACAAAAGATGTTTGTGAAGACAGTAAATGGTAAAAGTTGTGTTGTGCACATTCTGATCAGGCAATATTCAGCATCCACTTGATGCAATTGGATCAAGTATGTTTATACTACCTTGAAACTGATAGAAAATAAGTACATGAAACATAACTTGGCAGATATAAAGTACATTAGCCTACATTGATTTAGTGCTGTTTTTGAAGCACGATACGAATGCCATCCTCCCAAGCCATTGTCTCCAATGGAGCCCACTCTAGCACTCATATTTGCCACCACGGCAAATTCCCTTTCGGTTCTAGAGCCACCTCCAACCTTAAGAAGTGGCCACATGTGCTGTTTGAGACAAAATTAGGGAAGAAGTTAGCCATACAAATTCTCAGGTCTTATTAGAGTCAAGTCTGACGGGTCACCAACAAACAAATAGTAAGAGTTTACATGCATAAATTAATGAATGAAGATAAAAACTACAAAAAATTGAATTTGTAATTTACCTTGATCACTAAAGTGGGGCCAACGGCATTGACTTCATATGCGAGCATCAGAGACGACTTTTCTACTTTCCTCAATGTTGTTTCTGTACTAATAGATGGAAAAAACTTCATCAACGGAAGCAGGATTAACATGAAATCTATATTAAACTTTATTGGGCCAATTATTTAAGTAAAACTGACATCGGAGCAGATAATTGTGTTATCATGATCTGAACAAGGCGTTCCTTGACAAAATAATGGTTCATTACCAACAGATGCAAGATAATATGGAGCCGTTGGCTTTGGAAATGCCTTTTCAGTAGCATTTCGACTGGTGCACTAAGGATAAAAGTTTTCTTAAGACTAACTCTGAAATGTCCATAGCTAAATAGCATTATTTTAAATAAATGATTATTCTGAAAGGAAGGTACTCTAATCAAATAAATGTGAACTCATGATCAAAATAAGAGTTCCTGGACAAGTCAATACATTTGCATGGCCAACTATATTATGATTAAACAGAATTTTTAAATGAAAATAGGTTCCACCAAAGACAGCTTTGAAAGGACCAGATGACCGAGTTTTAAGTTTTTATAAGGTTATTCAGGCTGTTGCTTCACACATACTTGAAAACCAAATCTCAGAACTATGTTGTGAATGGTTGTTTAAATCTCTTTTTCCACCCATGAATTGATCAGGGTCCAATAATTTCAAGTAAGGCACAACTATTCACTTAGGAGGCTTAGCAAATAAAACTAAACAGAAGGTTCGTTGAGGTAAGAAGACGAGAATTAAACACATGTATATAAAAATAAATGAGGTAGAATTTGCAAACACCTCTCTTAAAAATGCATGTGATAAATGTATATAGGAAAAAGTGCTGAATTGCTAATTTACTTAAGGACTATGATGCAAAATTGTACTTTTTTCATTTAATTAATTATCTCTTTTTCCTTGTTTCCTTTGATTGTGAATGGCAGAGATCTGATCCAAATGAAGTTCTGAATAGTGAAACTTCAGCTAAGCAATATTCCTAACAGTGATTAAAGAGTCAACAAACATCCTGTATGGTGACTGTACACTGTAATTTCAAAAGCCCGGTATTTATTCCAGACTTGTACCACTCGTTAGAAACTGAAAGAATCATACTAGAAGAATCTTGTCTACAAAATCAAAATCCTATCAGAGTTATGTTGAAAATTATCAATATTTAACATCCTTGGTAACTAGGATGAAACACAGGTACTTCATATTGAAGGTTCCGCACCTGGCTGCAGTACATTAGGTACTGAAAGGATCCCAGAAGCATTGATAAGTAGGTTTAAAGACCCATAATTGTCTTTAACAGCGGCTGCTGCTTCCTGCATAAAACCATCATGAGAAAGAACTTAAGATGCGATATTATAACCTTTATAAGCAGCATATTTACATAATGATATCAGATGGGGGCATTTATCGATAATGCTAGCTCAGAGACAATGCAATATTTGTAAGTGTATTGCAACAAAAATTGCATTTCAATACTTTGTACCAGAAGTCATCTCAGGCTTCACCACCTGAAGCTCACTATAGTCTTCTCTCGATTTTTCAGGAGAAAACAGAAGAAAAGGAAAGAAATAGCTTTCTTGCAAACAGAAACCACTTTAACCTATTGATGATGCTAGAATAATCAGAATATACCCCAATAATGTCTAGGAAAAGAGGTTTCATAGTTGAGACGAGTTAACCAAAGGACACCTTGCTAAACAGTAGTAATCAATGGTCAACAAGCATCTTGTTATATGCTTTTCTAAGGCAAACAAATACTATGGATTTTGGTTGCAAATAGACAAATTGCTGAATGTGGCGAAAGAACACACAGCATATCTAAAAATGCTGCAACCCAAGAAAAGAAGATGCAATTACCTCTATGGTACTTTCATTCGTCAAATCCAATGGCAATATATTGAGGCGGTCTGCAAACTGCCTTTTCAACTCAATAAGATCTGTTGCACCATCAGGATTCCGACAAGTAGCAATCACATGGCCTTTTGCATTTCTCCCCAGTAGTTGCCTCACCTATCATTCACCATATATCTACTCAATCACAAAAAAAAATGAAAAGCTTGAGGAAAATATGTCCTTGGCCATTTTCATCGAATATTTTTTACATAACATTACAATTTCTACAAAAGATTTCGATAGAGCAATATGACGTGGAGTCTTTTGTCTTATTTATTATATGTAAATATTAAAATGGAGCACAATTACTCCAGCTGTAATGTATAATAGAGCAATATGAATTGATTCAATGGCCTCGTCAACAAAGAAAATTATTCAATCATGATAGAAAGAAAATAAACCAGAGGCTATTATTAAGATGGTCGTCTCGACATCTTCTATAGGCAATCGTTTAATATCCAGAGTTTCTTAATAGAATTCAAAAAGATGATAAAGGATGTCATGCAGGAAAGAAAGAATAATATTTCAGTCCCACACATTCGATATCCAATATAGTCATTGACCGACTTAATATGCAAGAGGACATAGATGATTATGGTCAAACTTTATATCAATAGCTAGGACTTAAATTTCTGTTATTCATTTGAACATATAACCAGTGTTCTAGGCTCTAGGTTTTAGGAAGAAAATAACATAGAAAATGTCCCATAGCAGAACCAAATTGTCACTAAATACATTCACTGCCTAAGAGCTAGCCATGAAAGATTTAGAACACCAACATGCAATGCTATCAATTTGTGTTCGGAGTCAACTCCGCTCAAACATACAAATAGACCAAGCAAAGCTGAGCAATGGTCTAATCCATCACATGGATGCAAAATACATGGTATAAGTTAGACGACTAAATTTGGAAAACTACAACTTACTTCCACTAAATTTAAGCAGAAGTAGTTCTTCTAAGCATGACTTGTTTCTATGTTTCTTGTAGCAACATAGAGATAAAATAACTGAAAAGGACACATTTGTATTATCCTGCGAAAACATTACAATATTCAGGATTCTTACAATATTCAGGAGTCATCCAAACCATACGTTCTCCTTTAAAATACTTCAAATTTAATTAATACATAAAATTTGAGAAAGATATGAGTTCTACTACTAAGAAGCTAACAGAATTACAAAAATAAAATAAAATAAAATAAAGAAAATCAAAAAGGGTTATGAAATGGATTAGGGCAAAATTCTCACAAACTCGAGGCCAATTCCTCTTGAAGCGCCCTGCACCATTGAGACCCCACCTTCCCATTGCACCGCTGAGCTACAGAATTGAGCCCTTCGAACCGATCTCATGAAAATTGGGGCTTTAATTATTAGAAATTTCAACATATTTCACCGAAAATGAAGGGAGAAAAGATGAGAACTTTCTTCCCAGTAATTGAGTGTACAGTCGGGTTTCGTTTTCGCTTTTCCCCTTTCGGGCTTTCAGCTTTCTTCGCAGAGAAGGTCAGATTGGAGTCAGATGGAGATTGGTGCGGCTTAGATATTGTTGTATTTAAAGCTTTATCCGTATACGGTTACATTAAATAGGGACAGGTGTACAACAACGCCACAAAATCTTCCCACTTACGAAACTGCAATATTTTTTTAAATCCATTTTTTTTTCTTTTATTGCATTTTATTCTTTTTTTTTCATGGAAGTTCTAAACTATCATTGTATATTTTTATTTTTTGTGATATGGAAAACACTATCAGAGTGCTCAACTCTCTTAAGAAAACCTTCGAGGAATAATATACATCTCAATCACAAGAAAGCCGGTAAAAATATTCAAATCTGAATTTAAAACTATTGAGTAGGAAGCAAATTTATCCAACTATCCATTCGGATGATAACCATCTTTATCGATAGTACTCTCTCTGTGAGAACCAAAGGTTCCTAGGCCCATTAGATTTTTCTCGTTGAAAACAGTGAATAGATTTTCAGTTATAAGTGACGCCTCATTAGCTTGAGGAATTGTGTAAGTATTTTGATGGAAATTTTTTAACTACACCTCACATTGTACAATTATTTATATTGGAGCTTTCAATCTAATAATAATCATATCAACATTTTTATTATAGCGGCCGTATTTAAATCAGAAATTATGGTTATTCCTTGACTATTAGTTCAGCTCTTTAAAGAATTGTCCTCTTAGTAAGCAAAATTGACCCAACACTCAGCGATCTCTGAGTCACAGCTCCCATGTTGATGGAACAGAAGTAGAAAAGTTAGGAATTTTGGTGTTTGTGCTCAACTCTATTCCGTTTGACTTGAACTATCGAGATCCACAAATATTGGCATGTGGGTTAAGTCTTGGACCAAAAGACTTGACTCAATCCTATTGGACATTGATATCCCCAATAAAAGTAGGCCAAAATCACACCAAAGTTGAGTTATAGAATAATATAAACCCAAAGGACCCGAATTTTTGCAGTTTCAACAATTTCGTGGGAATGTTGAGCTAATGTCACTACATGTTATCCCTTGTCTCATGCTCGGGACTTGTAGGTGGAGTTGAAATCATTTGGATCCCTTGATAAATTTTGTCAACTTAAGAATCCATATAATCACATTGTTTAGAGAGAAAGAGTAGTACTAATGATTATGAGCAGAACCTAGTTGATGCAAATCATTATATTAAGCAACAAATTTCAACATCATTGCCCACTTGAAGATATAAGACAACACTCATCTAATTTATCTTGTTTAAGGATGCACTGAGGGGGGTGTTTAATAAATTCCTTTTGACCTACTTAACTCCTTTTGATAGTTTAGAACATGCTAGTCTATAATAGCCATGGAAAATGAACGATTTAGACAATGACAGGGAAAGAAATGAACATTTAAGTTTGAACCATGTTTGATTTACTACTGCCGACATGTATAATAAATTGTAACTTCAGTATGTTTGCTACTTAAAATAAGATTTCTATTTATTATATTTTTCATATTAGTTATATAAGTAGCAATATTCATACCTCATATCAAAGGTCCGGAATACTTAACCATAGAGACCAACTTATTAAATTCCTAGAAATTAAAACCAAAAAGATACGAAGATCAATATAAAATTGATGCATTATATTTCTCTTACTCTTTTTAACTATAACTAGTATATGCACGTGCTTTGCATGTGAACGTAAATGTTTTAAGTTTTAAAATTTTTATTAATCAGTAAAACTATATGTTAATAATAAAATTGTATAATAAGATTGCTAAAAAAAAGAAATGTATGAAGTAATTATTATTGTGTAGTTATTGAAAGTTTTTCTTATAATAATTGCCCAATATTAATCTTTTTTTTAAATAAGTCTCCAAATCTAAATTGTTCTTAAATAAAACTATCAATTCTGGGTATTAGTCAATTGAGACATTTTCATGCAAAATGGGTTAATTGTTAAAGTGGAATAATTTTTCGCTAGTGGAATATTTTAGTGGGATAAATAGGAACAATTTTGTGAAGCGGTATATTTTGATAAAATAACGTGAGATAAATTTTTATAACCATGAAATATATATTTATGCATTTTGAAGATATAAGTACTATTTATGTATTTTAAACTTACTATTGTTGATTGATAATTGCTTATCAGAATGCTCTTTACTGTAAAATAACTTTTAGTTAGACTATAAGATATTGACAATTATTATTATAATGATGGTCTAATGATGGTGATAACCATAGTAGGAAAGAAGCAAAGAAAAAAAAGTATAAAAAAATAAAAAATAACAAAATAAATATGAGTTATAGTTTTTTACCACCTAGTTCCAAGATAAAACTTGGAATAATTTGAGAGACTAGAACTCTCATTTTTGTATAGAAAAATAAAAAAGTGGGATAATTTTGTACCATTATCCTAATTCTAGTTTTGTTAGAGTTCTACTTGACTAACACTATAAAATTTTGTTCTAGTTTTAGTTCTATGTGACAACACCTTAAAAATTTATCCCACAGATTATCCCATTTACAATTTTAAGTTCTAGGTGACGAACCCCCCCATCCCACCCCACCCCACCCCAGTTCTCTCAAATATGCCCCTCCAACTTGAAATTTGTTAACTTAACCCTAAATTAACTAAGTTGCATTAATCTTGCTAGCTTTTTCCTGATGTTTCATAGATAGTTTTACTTGATACCTACAACATATTGTAACAATTACTTATCATTATAATTATTTAATAGGGTAAATTACACTAAACCCTTATGCCCATATGAACTTTTAAAATTACACTAAACCCCTAATGAATTTTCTGTTTCAAAGAAGACCCTCAATAACTTTCTAAAATTTACAAATAACCCCCTATAAATTAGAACCAAAAAATGGCATAAAAAGGCATTTTGAAAATTATTGGGGGTTTTGTGTAATTTATCTAAAAGATATTGGGGGTTTTCTACAAAAGTTATTAGAGGTTTAGTATGATTTTGAAAGCTCATAGGGTCTATTTACTACAAAATGCTAAAAGTTCATAGGGTTTACCGTAATTTACCTTATTTAATATTATAATTATTAGTTCAAGTAATACTATTAAAATAATTATGTTGTCTATATACTATAAAATATTTGTCTAATTTTTTATGCTCTTAAATAATTTGGTACTATAAATATTTTATAATTTTTTATTATTTTTTGTAAAAGGTTAGTTTGTAATCATTACCAAGTATAGATTATTAAGTATCATGTAATAATCTTTGAGAAAATTCTTTAAAAATAATATTAATTTATTTATTTAATTTATTTAATAATATAATATTAAATAAATAGTTAATTCATTATTTATGGGATATTATTAAATTAATTACACTATTTATGTGATTCGAAATTTATTCTATTTATTTAATTGCTCATTGAATTATAATATAATTATTAATAGTATTTAGTAATATATTATTCTATTTATACTATCATTTTATTTTTTATTATAATTCATAAATAATTATTATAATAATTTAATTGGTTACTACTAATAATTGTGTATACTTATTTTATAAATTAAATTATTTTATTATTTTTAAACAATTAATAGTTATAATATTATTGATAATTATATTTATTTAGGAAGATGAGGAGTTGTGAGAGGTTATATTTATTTAATGAAAGATTAATTAGAGATAATGGCATAGTTAATTTGAGAGGGCAAAAAAAACTAAAAGTTTTAACACCGTACCCTAATTCTCTTTTTATAGAAGTATAAATTATCACTGATCCCCCCACCCCTTTCTGAAATTAGAACTGCCTTTCATGGATCTTTAGAGTGGAATAGGTTTCATATGTTTGCTCATTGTGGCTTAATGATATTTAACATCTGGAATTTGCTCAGCTTAATTTTCTATAAGTAATTTCTGATAATTTTCTGATCCGCAAGAATTTATAGCGACCAATTAGCTGTTCAGCAGCCACCGTTTTGTACTTATTGCAGCAAACCCCTAGTTTTAGGGGGTGTTTGGTTCAATTTCTAGAAATTATAGGAAATGTTTTCCACCTAAAATATGATTTCCTTGTATTTCTTAAAAAAATTATAAGAAAAGTTTTGAGAAATCAAAAAGTACCAATTTTCTTGTTTTTTATACTTTGCTTGTTTGGTTCAAAATAAGAAAATAGCTCATAACTTTATAGAAAATAACAAGATTTGGTAGGTTTTTAATTAAATATGGTATGTGTCAAATTTCTGATGATTTTCTCTCATTTTGATAGGAAATTGCTTTTTGTAAAATTTGGTAGGTTTTGATATTTTATAGAAAATATTTCTGTAAATTTTTTGTTGAACCAAACACAATTTACAGAAATCTCTGAAAAACTTTTAATTACAAATTTACCATTGTCAGATATTTTGAGAAAAATTTTCTCAAAAAATGTGTAACCAAACAGCCCCTTAATACATGTAAAATTTATTCAAGCAAGCCACCTGCATTTTTTTGCCCCCTTAACCAACTGGGGACCAAAATCACAATTTATTGCTTGTTTAGCTGGATGCGTATGCAATACTAGACATAGTCCCTCAAATGAATGACACTAATCTAAATCATAATCACTTTATAAACCATTTTTCTTTTATTCTAGTTAACTATTTGTATCCTCTTTACTGTCATATCCAACAGAGAATTTTTCAACCAGATCATTAAGTAATATATTCAGACAGTTAAAATTCAACTTCACAAAACTGTACTCACTCCAGAGTTCCATTCAACATAAGATCATGGCCGTACATTAACAGATCGTGTAAATAACAAGAGAAAAAAGAAATGTAGCAACTAATCACCTTCTGTAATCTTTATTAAGCAAGCAAACACATTCCATACTTTTCATATAAAAACACAACACGTTGATAACACCGACCTCAATGCATCAACTTAACAGCATTGGCAATCTCTCTCTCTCTCACAAAACATAGTTACACCAAGTCAATTAAAAGAGATACATCATAACTTCCACATCTCTCAAAAACTAATAATGTTAAACTAAATCTTAATTAAACACAACCTCCTTAACAAGCATAGAGTTGAGTCAGTTCCTCCAGCGCACCATCAGCCACCACCTCGTCAAGATCAGCATTCTCCAGCATCCACAGCAAGTGATCAAAGAGCACAACTTCACACTTGACCGATATCTTCTGATCCCCATGATTCTCATTAATCTTCGATCGATCAATCAGCGCGCTTATCAAAGGATGATTCAGATGCTTCAAGCTTATCGTGTACCGCCTCCTCGAGCTCCCCACGAAGACCACCGCGGCCTCCTTAGCATCTTCGTTCGCGGGTCCCTCCCAGTCTTGGATGTAGCTATTGGATTTGGACCTCAGGCTGCTGTAAGATGAGGACCTCCCCAGCTTTGAGAGGCTCTTGCATTTCTTCAACAGAACATTCATTTTCTTCATCTTAGCTTAGAATGAAAACTAGCTAAGAGTTGGTGTCTTAATATACACTCTCACTTGTACAAGATCTTAACAATGTGGAATTTTGTGAGAGAGGGTTAGGTGTCACGTCGTTTTATCCCCGTAATTAAAACAGTGGGGGCCAATTGATACTGAAACTAAATAAAACTAAACCTACATGGGCCCGTGCTTAATTAAATGGGGGACCTAAATTGTAACAGACGGAGATTGTTTAGAAGCAAAAAGTCACCAACATAATCGTGTGAAGGAATGTACTATTTTTGTTTTGGGTGTAGGAGATTGGTAAGGGTCAGGTGGGTAGAGACCCAGATCTGAACCGTTTTTGAACTCTAGTAACAGTCCATATTAGAGAAGTATTAGAAATGGTAAACGTACAGATCAGGAAGTTTAGGGTATATGTTCAGATATCATGGTGCTTGTGGTATGATGTTTTCAAAACTCCGTGGTGTTTTTCTTTAAAAGTGTTTTTAAAACACAATAGCAAGTGTTTTTTGGCCAACAATAGTTTGATCTTTTATAACATTAGTATTAAATATATTATTAATATATTAAATATTAATTATAATATAATCTATTTTAACTAATATATTATAATGTTATATATATAATTAACATGTTATAATATTATACAATTAATAGATTATAATGTTATATACTGTACATATTTATAATAAATATTAAAGCTAATATAAACTTAAGTGGATAGGAGTCTTTTGTCCAACAACTTTTTTATCCATTGATTTTGCATTGAAATTTGTGCTAGCATATGATACAAGTGAAGACACAAATCTCAAAAATAGCATTGATGTGTAGCACAAATCTTAAAGCATAATGAAGGGATAAAAAGTTTAGTGGACAAGTGCTCCTATCCATTTAAGTCTATAGGAGCTTTACTTTATATATTATATCATAACACTTAAATAATTTTTTTTCAAATATTAATATATTTAATTAATTTTATCTGAATGTGTTATTGTCATTAATATATTAACTTTTATAAATAATAATATATTAAAATTTTCTTTTTATAATATAATATTATATTATTACATTATATTATTTATATAATATAATAGAATATATTTTTCTATTGTCACATCAATGTCCTTCAAATCCGATATGATCCTATCAAACTTATAGATGTATTCACTGATTAACGAGCCTTCCTACATCTTGCAAGTATATAATTTGAATTTTAAGTAGATCCGATTTGTTAGACTCTTCGTCATGAACGTATTCTTTAACTTTGACCACACGTCCATAGCCGTTTCCTCTCCATCTACCAAGAAAGCAAAGTTCCTCTCAAGGCATATGTTATGGGGTACAATTATTTCCAAATGTATGATCTGATGAGCCGACACCTTTACCCACCAGGCGGACCGACTCGGAAGATATTGTTAGTCGACTCAAGGCATCTCGACCCCTCAACCAAGCCGACGCGATCTGCCGACTCGGAAGGCGGTGTTAGTTGGTACGAAAATCAATATTCCAGAGATTCAACACTCCTCAGAGTCGACCTGAAGGAAAACCGAGCCGTTACTCCCCCAGTCGAGTTGGCATCATTCCTCAAAGGCGACTCGAGAGGCAGACTTAGTCGATCCTCTTCATATCAAAAGATCGCTACTCAGCGTTAGCTAGCACTCCTCCCGAGGACGACCCAGAATATTACTTCTCTATATTGTTGACCCTATAGTTTTGATGATGATTTGACAAACAATTTATTACTAATAAGTTTTCTAGTGTTTTGTGTTTATGTTCTCTCTTCAGGTATTTCAACACACGTCAATCAAGCGTTAAAGATTCAAGTTCATTTGCGTGGATTTACCTAGGTATATGTTTAGTTTACTTACATATATAGTATGATTATATCTAAGCTCAATATATATACACTTAACACGATTTTTGACGTTTTCTATCTTATAGATGATTTTTCATTAAACATTGTTAAAATATCTTTATCTCATGTTTACAGCTCTTTCATACTTCACTATATACATATATTATATGCACAATATATATATGAATATTTACAAGTCCTATATCAAAGTTCACTTTCATAAAATTACAGGTTTTCTAAGCATTCTTAAAAACAGGTAGTTTTCACAAAGTAAAATTGATTTTCCAGAAATTCTTTTTCAAACATGTTTATTTTATCATTTAGAAACTTTTCCCAAAGTTTCATTATTTTTGAACTTGATTTGATATTTTTTTCTGGATTTTCAAACTAGCCCCAAAACCTGAATTTTTACATATATCAGAATTCGGTCGACCGGTACGGTCGACCGACAGTTGTTCCTTTTCTGAGTAATTTTCCAGAGAGCCCTCCGGTCGACCAGAATTTATATCGGACGACCGAAATTTTCAAAACGGTCGACCGAAATTTCCGTCGGTCGACCGCCAGCTTTAAATCTTCGTTCTCTGGGTTTTTGAACTAAGCGGTCGACCGGACCGGTCGACCGCCGAGTTGTCAGAATGACGGCTAGTTTTTTCAAATAGACTTTTTGATCTTTTACTTATTTCTAGCTGTTGTATTGGGGTGCTATATATACTCCATTGCTGCTCTTCTTCTCTAAGATCCAAGAAATCCAAGTTTGTTGTTTAACAAGTTATTAATCGCGTTTAAGAGCTGTTTAAGAGTTGTTTCATCAATCTGTTTTCAAGAGAAGTTTTTCTACAACAAGAAGAGGCTTTCAAACCCTATTGGAATCATCATTTCTTCAGCTCTTCTTGTTCATTGAGAAGTTTTCTAAACTCTTCCCTATATAGCTTATTATTTCACTTTCATTTGATTAAGCTATATTCATTGAGTTATATTTATTGAGTTTCATTCACTATTATCACACACACTTATTGAGCTTGATATTCTCATATTATATATTATGGGTTGTAGTGTGAGATTTAGTGAGTGTGAGCTTCACTGAGTTCTCATTTGTTATTTAAGAACAAATTCTTGTATTGAACCTTTATTTGTGAGATTCACTTGTAACACACTTGTACACCGAGAGAAGTGTGAGGAGAGAGAGACGGGGTCAAATCCAATAGGAGTGGCGTCGATTGACGAACCTAGGGAGAGGTTGTAATCGAGCACTTGAGGAGGAGGACACGGGCTAGGTTCCTACACTTAGTGTGTAAAGTGTGATTGTTGAGTGATTGTGTAGTGTGAGAGTTTTCGGTGAACTTGTAAACCGAGTGTGTAGAAGTTCCGGCTTCCAAACCAGATTGTGATAGTGGATATCTCCTCGAGGTGAGGAGCGGTGACGTAGGTCGTGGGGACCGAACCTCGTGAACATATCGTGTGTTTGTGTTTTGGTTGGCGTACATATTATTCATCTTTATTGCTCATATTCATATCATATTTATTCTTGTAAGAACAAATTGATCAACATAATTTTAATTGCTATTAATTAGGATTAGATTAGCATAAGACCCTAATCACCCCCTCTCTAGGGTCTAACAACCCCTTTACTATCGATGGTATGTCACTTGTTATCCTTCAGTTTGATATTGGCAGATCGGCCATCTGGAATTGAACTGAATGTCCTCGTTGCATTCCATGTTTCCTCTCATTTCTGGAGAGGTTTGTGGCAAAGATAGAGCGGATGATGAGGAAGGAGGGACGGAGGGCGTAGAGCGGTAGTGCAAATGGTCTATCTAACACAAATCTCTAATAGAATTCAGTTTTGAGAGGCTAGTCTGTTGTTATTAAATTTAAGAGGTGATAAGTGACACAACGCAATAGTACAGATAGTCTATGAGCAAATAAGCCTTGATTTGATTATTTGATTGGGTTTAAGACGACTACCACTTGGAGAGTAGAGTCGCGGTGCAGGTTTGAGAATGTGAGCGAAGCCCTTGATTACATGAATCCCTTCACTAAAGACATGAATCCTAGTGTAGGTCCTGCTAAGATAAGCTTGGATGGTTGAGGTGTCTAGTTCAGGCCCAAACCCTAACCTGTTGTTGTTAACTTGTTTTGTGCTTGAATTTTGCACATGATCTCATTGTGGATGGATAGTGAATAAATGACCTTGGATTTATGCTTAGCTATAGTACTTTACACTCTCTAGTTTCAACCAGAAGCAACAAAGTAAGAGGACAAGTATTTGTGTCGAAAGTAAGCAAGCAATCATAGCAAATAAAAGAAAACTTGCAGGAAAAAAAAGAACAAAAGAAGAAAACACCAGATTTAATGAGGTTCGACAAAAGTGCCTACGTTCTCGGGAGACACACCAGAAAGTCTTTGATTTATTGAAGAAGATTACAATGCTCGTAAGAGGTCAATCTCTCTCTAAGATTTCTGATCTCAAAGTGCCGTCAAAACCCTCTCAAAGACGTCCTCATATAACCCTAAAAACGTTTTAGGAAATATATATAAACCCAGCCCAAAACGAATTCCAAGCTGAACTGGGAAAGTGTCTGGCCCGATATCGGTCAACCGATGTATTGGCGACGGTCGACCAACCAGAACCCTATTTTCTACAAGATTTCTCGTGCACGCTTTCGGTCGACCAGGGCAAGCCTATCGGCTGACCGTCGCGAAACTCATGTAGTGTTCTTGGCTTCACATCGGTTGACCGACGCTGACCAATGAGCTTGTGTCGGTCAACCGATAAGAGGATTTTTGTGTTGTTTGTGATTTTCTATTCCAGGTTTGGTTCTACACTCCCGAAACCAACAATCTCCCATTTGGAGACCAAACCGCCATCAACGAGATCTCCTAAACTCCAGCCATCTTTGCAGGAATCTTCTCCTATCTGGAAAATTCCTTTCTTCAATCAATATCATCTCGGCGATCCTGCCTCTCCTCTTAGTGTAGCCCCGCCTTCGTCTTCTACGTGTGAAGGCCAACTGAAGTTACGCACAACTCTAGTTTGTCGATGGTCGCTGCTTTCGTCAACATATCTACAAGATTTTGGCTCCCTAAAATCTTCTTCAACTGTAACTTCTCATCATCTATCAGCGAGCATATGAAGTGGTAACTGTTTGGAGTAAAATTCTTGGTTTCTCAATGTGTGATTTGTATTAATTTAAATGTGTTATTACAAATCCTTTTAAGAAATTCAGAAAGAATACAACAGAAGCGAAGAGTCGGCCCTTCTTGTTTAATGCGGGTT